TGTAACTGTGTAATTCCCAGCATATATACCACCCACCTTCAGCCTGAGCAGAGGTCTAATCAGCAATAGCTGAAAACCCCTGTGGTGATGTGCAGGGCCCTAAGATGTTGAGTAACTCACCCAGCCATATAGTTTGTGATGATACAGCTAGTCTGCTTGCAACTCCTAAAAATGACATTTATAGGGGTGCCACCTCACCTGGTAGTGTGTGTGTGTGAGTCCTTACTGCAGTGGCCTGCACTGTAAAAAAAACTGACTTTACGGCAAAACTGTTTTAAGAAACACCACACTATATGCAAAAAATGGCTATGTTTTGGTTTTCTGTGCAATTTACCATCTATAATATAAAAAAACATACACCATAAATAAAGCTTTTGCCATGAGATATGACAATGTTTTACTGTTACAGAAACTGTATTTAACCTATTTAGAGTTTACAATCTTACTGTCATGGTTTGACCTGCTCTTTGTGGCATGTCATCCCTCTTTCTCTCTCCCTCCTCTCCTTTCTATCTTCAGCTGTCACCCAGATGATGTTTTACCAAAATAATAGAATTGAGTGTATCTGCAACAGCAAAACTTCCAACGTGTTTAATTAGGTTTCCCTACAATAAGCTTTCTTAAACAGCATTTTCCTTTTTATATTGTTGTTGCCTTCATTGGACAGGACTCCTGTGCATGCTCTCTCTTTCCTATTTACCATGATTATTGCTGGCCTCTGTGGGCCCCCTTTAGAGGCTGAGCCCCAGAAATCTTTTTCCCTTGGCGGCCCTGCATTGCAGGAAAAAACAGGTGTTACTAATGTGTCCCAGTAAACCTGTGAACCAGCATGCACAATACCCGGGTCCTGAACCTGAAGCATCTAAATGGAATCCAGCCATCATTCATTTTACCATTTACGCCTGTGTTTTTACTACTGTGATATGTTAAAATATTCTTTGAAAAAGGCCAATATCTGCTCCTGGTAAGGCATGCTTAACCCTGTTTTTGCAATATATTTAGACAACTTAAAGCACTTGGTTTATGATTTAACAAAAAACATAATCTTTCTTCTGTCTTAACCTGGTGTTGTAGTAACCTAGACCTAACAACAAGTGGGACACAGGATGCAAACTTCAGTCTCTACCCTTTATCTGTCATTTTCCACCCTGACCTATTCCCTAAGATCTCTGCAGTATAAAGGGCAACAGCAGTGTGCAGGTGCAGGTGTGTGACACGTTAAAACACCTGCACACTTTGTTTTCTATGCAAACCCACCTCTCGTGGCATTTGACACCACTGTCCGACTGTACGTATTATCCGGTGTTGACAGGCATCAGCTCTCCAGAAAAGAACACATTCTTGCTACTGTACCTTGATGACTGCCTCTGACCATATTTTTTGCCAATTCACTCTTTTTAGCTAGGTCCTGGTCTCCAACAACTCCTGAGAAAAAGATCTTATTCAATTTAGTCAATCTGCTACATTAAATGGAACATAACCTTAATCAGTAACATTGGTAACACCTGTTTTTATCCTACTATTTCATGTCAAAATGGCTGCTGTGAAAAAGATTTATTGTCTGTGGGGTTCGTCACTACTAGGTAATGTAAAAATATTGATAAGTTCAGCTTTATTGAAGGATGTCACACTTTCTGGATCGATACGAACATTGCTTATAAACTTCAGGCAGCAGATACTTTCTTGCAAAATGTAGTTGGAAAACTAATTAGTACATATTTTGTGAGCGACAGAGCTGCTATTTGATAAAACTATTCTCATTAGTATGATATGTATATATATGCATGAACCGTACCTGGCCTCAGTTAGTCAACATAAAAATCTGCTCAATTTAACCATCAATTTAAAAGCTACCATTATATGCTTGGTAGAGTTATTTGCACTGACAGTGTTCAATTCAGAACACAGATCAGATCATTTACATGCAAACTTCAATCCCCAATACCCCATGTTTAATTTAGTCTGTCTAATTCGCTGTGCTGTTTCAGAAAACAAGGTTGAAAGAAAATCATGCACGCATCACACAGCTCTTAAGGGTAACACCGAAAATGAAAGCCATATCTCCAATGTGGACTCCGGGCTTTAATAAATACACAATGAGACACAGACAGCACTAATTACATTGTTAATGTAAGTGTTAAAGTCTTGCTAATTTGAAAGTGGAGTCGTGGGCACAGGGTCTAGACAAAGGGACAGATGACTGGTGAAGCCAAAACAAAACACTGCAGCAAGTTTTAATGAGGCGACAGGGGACTGCCCGTCAAACACATAACAAACACTGGCATCCCAGAAGGAGCGCGCACACAAACATGCTCTAGTGCTCTGTGTACACACGTATACAGGCATGCATGCAAGTACACAACATATGCATCTGTACCACAGGAAAAAAACATTTCTACGTGGACATTTAGCTGATTTGCTGCTGATCTGTGATGAACTGCGTCTTCACCAAAACACGCCTGTCTCAGACCTGACTGATGAGCTTAAAGGGTCAAAAGATTAAGCTCAATATTCCCCATGTCAGCCATGTCAATCATAGCATGGCGAGCTGCATTTACAACGTTGCAGCAATATCAGAGATTACCGCTTTCAAATGCGGGGCTAAATACCCCTGCATTACGCCGCTGAAATATAGACCTAAAAATCCAAGATTATTCTTCAGTGAAATAAAGCCTTTAGGCCTAATCCATATTGAAAGTCTTGTCTCTAGCTGGGCTATGGGCCTCTATAACCTACTTCTGATGGCTGTTATTGGGAAAAGCTGCTTTGTACTGGTCAGTTGTGTGATGAGGGCTTGGACGCGGTCTGTTGAGCTGACCTATATTTGGCTGCCTGCCCTGTCTGCACAGTCAAAACCAGAGCTTCTCTCTTGTTTTGTTCTATAGGCAAATTAGGCCGCCGGGCACTCTCCTACGCTCTCTGATCCAGTGATCTGATAAAGTTCAAGAATTAATGTACTGTCATGTGAAATGTTTAATGCACACAGATCCTCCCAGATAAAGTAAAAAGAGAATTCATACAGAATCAGAACTTCATTCACCGTCAGTATAGAGGAATTTGTAGTATTGGTGTAGCAATGTATGGACATATACTAAGGCATGGGAAAATCAGAAATGATATACAAACAGTAGCAGCTCTGTAGAGCTGTGCTTAAGTATGGAGGTACTTGCTAATATCAATATGCTAACATGCTTACAATAGCAATGCTAACATACCAATGTTTAGCAGGAATAGTGTTTACCATGTTCACTATCTATGGCCACGTTCAGACTGCAGGCCAAATGTGATTTTTTTTTTTGCTCATATGTGACTCATTTTTTATTGAGTGTTAACAGCACAAATCACATGGACGCTGATCTTGCAAACAAAAAAAATCCCATCTGAGCAATAAATCAAAATTGAGTGCTTGCAGTGTGAATGTAGCCTTAGATTAGTGTGCCAGCTCAAAATTGGTGCTTTTCAAAATCTCTCTGCTCTGGAGAGGATACATTTTTGAATGCGTCTGACATGCCGTAGTAAGAGAGGAAAAACCAAGCTTTGCCAAACTTCTTGCTTTTTTATTGGGCTTTAATCTAATATTACCTACTCTGATTTTCATCCACTCCTGAGGTTAAATTAGTAAAAACAGCAGTCTGCACGGAGAAGAAAATACACAAAAGTGATGATGCAGTGAATCATGATCAGTACTGTGAAACCAAAACCAAGTAAACGCATAAAGCAGGTAAATGAATAAATCGAGTGGCATATGATGCAGTCACATATATTGTACAAACAGTGTTAAAGTGTATAAATAATGTTGTGTGGTCATGTCATAATGTGAGATCTACATATATAAATGTCAGTTCTTAAAAAGACCCTGTTAAGGGAGCTGTGGCCCTTCCTTTTTTTCATAAATAACAGTCATGAGACTGGTGAATCTCCTCTGTACTCTGCATGCATGACTGAATGCATGACTAACTACAGTGGATGCTGGATCAAAGAAAACTCTGACTGTATTGAAATGAGTTGAAAAGCTTTTTTAAACATCTGTAGGGTCTCAGTAATCCTGTGAAAATGAGAACATATTTAAGCTATGTATCTGAAACATAAAATTACACAATCTTCATTTAACAAGTGAACAGTTTAATTCAAAAGAAATTAACCCTATGATAGCATCCTTCATTTTGAACTTACAGACCTCAGTTGGTTATTGGTCAATAGCGTGTGTCAATTTGTGGGGATGTTAGCCTAGTTAAATAACTTGATTTTATTTATTTATTTCAATGCAAATTTGGCTTTGCTGGTGTGTGACTGGGTTTTTCACTTGGTCTGGTCAACCAGCAGCGCATGGTGGCTAATGTTAGAATTTAGACAGATACTGCTGCATAACTGACACTACTGGGTCAGTTCACTCGCTTTATGGCTCTTCTCTGCTACTGCTATTAGGTTTCAGTGATTGTATCAAGTAAAACAAGATCTAAACACACTTTTTGTTACATGCTTGTGATCCCAGTCCACTTCCTCTAAGGTAAGTAAACTAATGATGATGTCCTAAAAGAAACTTAGTCAAGGGAATATTAGGAAATGAGGGGAAATTCAGTGTCCTGTTAACCTGTAATTACCTCTTGTGGCCACAGAGGCCACTCTACAGCAAAATATATACATACGTAGTCCTGCTTTAAAGCTTAAAGCATTGTCATGATTGACAAATGTCTCAGGCTAAAGTCACTATGATCCAGGGCCTAATTTCTAATAACAGAAAAAGTAAAAAAAAAAAAAAAAGAGTGTAAGAGAAGGATTTGGGATTGTACTGTATAGAGAAATGGAAGGAAGGAGACAGATTAGGATGCGTAGATAGTGAGAGTGACATTGTGTGTGATGTGACTATATGAGCAAAGAGGGAATGGGAGGAGAAGTTAGAAGGATGGAGGCACAGAGGAAGGGGATAAGTTGGCAATGGGGGTAGACATGAGAGCAGAGTGTATAGAGGGAGGAAGGACGACACATGCCAGTGAATGATAATGCTGAGCCAAAGAGTGAAAACTCCAGGAAAGAAGGAGAGGAAAGGAGGATGGCGTGAAGAATGTGAATCATGTGTCACAAGGCCAGATGAGCAGCCGAGTGTTTATGAGATTCAGTGCAGGGTGCGGTGGTGCTGTGAGGGCTCAGGTGCACCGCAGCGTTGCAGGTTCAAAATCCAACCCGCAACCTTTCGGGTCATCCTCCTTCTGTCACCCTCGACTGCACGCTGCCTAATAAAGCAGAAATGTGCTGAAAAGATGAGGAGACACTGAAATAGGTCAAGTGAAGAGAGGTGGGCAGGGAGAGAGGGGAGGAGGGGAGGGAAAGTTTAGAGGCAGCAAGAAGGAGAAGGATGCAATGGTGAGAGGCATGAGGGGGAAAGGGGGAGAAAGGGGATGTAGTGTAAGTAGAAAGGTGGGTGGTAATGAAAAATTTAAGTTGAGAAACAGTGACGAGGGATGGATAGGTAGAGAGGAAGAGGAACACTCTCCAAAATGGAAGACAAGCAAAGCCAGGTCAGCCATATTAGCAGCCTTCAGTGACCAGAGATTGTTGCCTAGCAGCATGCAAGAATAGTTTTTTCTCTTCTTTACTCCTCACTCTCCTACTCCTCTCTCTCTTTTCTCCTCACCTCGTCTCCTCCTCTCTGCTGCCCTCTCCGTGCTGTCTCACTCTTTCCACTCCTCTTTTCCTTTTCACCTTTCCATCTCCCCTCTCCTTTCCACACGTATCCCTCCACTCCGCTCACAGGCTGTTCTTGCATTTTTTTCACCTCAGTGCTAGGCTGGTGCTGCCTCATGCCGACAGCCAGCCTTTTTGTGTAAGTGTGTGTGTGTGT